CCCATATTTTATACGGTGATGAATTACAGATAACTGTCTGTTTTTGTTAAGTTGTTAATCGGGTTGAATTATCTCGAGTCGTAGGGAATACGGCGAAAAAAAAAGTGAATGAAATTTACTTAAGAGATATTAACAGAGGGTTAAGGTTTTCCCTTAACAAAGATTTTTGATATGAGGCTAAGTCAAGTAAAATAGGCTTAGGCTTCTCAGGCTAAGGCTTAGGCTTCTCAGGCTCAGGCTTAGGCTTCTCAGGCTCAGGCTTAGGCTTCTCAGGCTAAGGTTCAGCTAATTTATTTAACTTTGTTATAACCCATATTTTATACGGTGATGAATTACAGATAACTGTCTGTTTTTGTTAATTTGTTAAATGGGGTTGAATTATCTCGAGTCGTAGGGAATACGGCGAAAAAAAAAGTGAATGAAATTTACTTAAGAGATATCAACAGAGGGATCGTTAAGGTTTTCCCTTAACAAAGAATTTTGATAACAGGCTATGTCATGCAAGATACGGTCAAAAAGGTTACTGTTAGCATAACGTTTCCTATACATGAATTCACATAAATAACTGTCCACCATAGGCTCCGATACACCCCACATTTTCTTGAACTTCATTTTTGCGACATTCCACATGGATTCTACACGGTTAGTGCATGCTCCAGATGTAGGGTCGACAAAATTTTTAGAGTGGTTGACTGTGAGGTGCCTGTATTCTAGTCCCATTGTCTCTATTCCGTTGTAGCTTCGCCAGCAGTCAGATATGATGGTTGTGCCTGGTCTGACTGAGGCTCTGATGCAGGATTCCAGCATTTCTTGGGTTCGGTCAGGAACAACGTACAGAAAACATTGTTTGTCTTCGCGACAGATACCTCCGAATACCCAAGTTTGCTTCTTCAGGCGACCCACATTGTATTTCCGGCGAGAAACTAGCGTCTCATCGATCTCTACAGTCTTTCCGGGCCCTCCAATAACATTCGGTTCTTCCAATAGTCGCCATGCACAGACTTCCCTAAGGAAGTTGTTGTGGTCGACTATGGTGTGGTCGCTTGCTATTTTCAGGTGCACCTTACAGAACTTAAGAGTCGTGGACTCATGGCTCCACCAGAAGATGAACAGAATCATCATATGGTACGATAGGTGGCAAGCTTTAACAGAGAACTATCCAAAAATTATCGATTACTTTCACTCGTACCTTCAAACCACGTGTCTTTCTTAAGGCTCACTTCTTTGGCACACTTTTTGTCTGTGCATCGGAACCTGTCTCTTTTATCAGACAGGGGAAGCTTCATCTTCTTGCCACAACAGCAATTTCGCTCAGTGGGAAGCAGTTCTTTCTCTTGAAGGAATTTGATAGCCGATTCCTTATCGTGAACAATAGCTGACAAGTCGAGATAACTAGTCATTGTCGAAATTGAAAGAAATATGTTTTTTTAACGGTTTTCCCTTCTCACTCACGTGAAAACGTGTTATTAGAATTCCGCGATTTCAAAAAATTAGCATATCCGCACGCGTCTATATATTGATTACCATCGCTCAGCGCGCAACTAACACTCATGGCGCAACCGGTTACACGGTTACGCAGTAAAAATGAGTGGAAGGTTCGGTTCCGCGAGGAGCCGAATTCTAAACTAAAGTAGGGGTGGCAACTTATGCAATAAGATTAAATTTCTTTTGAAATAAAAGTTTAAGAACAATCTTTTGTGTTTTAGTATTTAGAACATAAAATTTGGTGCATCGGCCGGGAATCGAACCCGGATCGCCCGCGTGGCTTTAGTATTTAGAACATAAAATTTGGTGCATCGGCATTATAATAAATATAAAAATAAATAAACAAAAAGATCAAAAAAAAAAGATAAAAGAGAATAATTTAAAATTTAAAATTAAAGTTTAAAGCTTAATCAAACGATATTTTCTGAGAAAGAAACAGAAAGATTAGAAAATGCCTTCGGAAGTAGCTATAATGAGAAGTGGATTCCAACAGAGAATCAACA